GTGATCTACTTCTGTAGTGATACTTCCTCAGAAACCCAAGGAGGGGTCGCTATGAATCGGGTTTGACTCAATGGCAGTGAGTAATCTCCAGAGAAGGCTTGAAAATAGGCATCTCCGCAGAGGCTGGTGTCTCGTAACACTCAAAAAGAAGGGCTGTCTGACAGGAACGGAGGAAGGTTCTTAGCAGGGAAGCGTGTATCTCTGCTCCTACTGAATTGCATCTTTTGGTTGTGTGACATTTATTTCTTCAGTAGTACTGTTTTGATAAAACGTGAAGAGGACGCCAACACTAAACTGGCATCCTTCTTGTATTACTGCACTAATTTCTTCTTGTTCCTGGTTGATTGTCTCTCACCTTAATCACACTAATACGAATATTTGGAGGTTTTTTAACGCCACGTTTCTCAGCCGTAAGTTTTCTATTGAGGACTGAAATACCTGATCAAAGTCCATGTTCATGATATCTGCTTCACAGTCAGTGCTTATTCATGCAAAAGCTTTATTAAACCTCTTCCTTTATCTTGAATCTTTATTTCCATTCCAGAACATAGGGCCCTTCTTCACTGTATCCCTTAATTTCCAAATTTTATTTAGTCCAGAGGATCTTCTACCTTTAAAAATAACTAATTTTCAAGATTTGAGTGGTCTGCTTCTAAAAGCCAAAGTCCCTGAAGGTCTTAACTGTTTATCTAATAATAATAAGTATGTGGTAGAATAATGCCTTTGTTAAACTTTATAAAAATAGGATTTTGAAATTAAATGCTTTGGTCTTTAAATTGCTGAAGTTAGCTTTTTGTTGAGTTTGTCTTAGAGTACACACTCTACTGGAAGAATTGTTAATTTGATAATTTATTTAGTATTTGGTATTTTTTGTCAACAGGAAGAAGGTAGATAATGACTATAATGCCCTTCAAGAAAGACTCAGTACATTGCCTGATAAATTGTCTTATAATATCATGGTATGTTTGGTGTGTTTCTTTTAAAGTAATATACTTTATGTGTCAGAGGTAGCTATGGTAGCAAGGAAGATTATTTAGTGTTACTTTTTATAAATATACTAATTGTAGTAATAGTTGGTATTTGCTTATTTTCCTTTATTCCAATTTATATTAAATTATCACATTATGGTGACATAAGTGACAAATATTAGCACAAAATTTGACATATTTGGTTTGTGGTTCTATTATGTAGGAAACTGTAATTACGATGGAAATAAAGCACTAAGTTGTTTCCTGTTAGCCAGAGCAGGAATAGACCATAATGTTTTGTACTTTACAGAATTAAGCTTGAGGACATTAATTTATATATAAAAAAGTATTGCTAATTTTTGTCTTACCAATCTTCATATCAACATAGTGATCTGTTGGTATGTCCTGAGTTAGAATCTTTCATTGCATGAATATTCTTTCTCATAAAAATTGCTCTTATTCTTGTTCTACTAGCCCAAATAGTAAATATAACTTCTCTTTAGGTAGACTCACTACTCTATAAGTAGACTTGGGAGCTCTGGTGGCGTAGTGCCTAAGGCATTTGACTGCTAACCAGAAGGCTGGCGGTTCAAACCCACCAGCCACTCCTCAGAAGGAAGG